ACCTACAAACCACCAGCAGTTAAACAGTTCCCAACACTTGCATCCTCTGTGCTGATGGAAACCTTAAGTCGTGAGCTCCATCAGACACCGGGGCACCTTGTGATCCCTCTCCTGCCGCAGGGAAAGGAGCCAGGGAAACGCCGTGTTTCCATGTGACTCACGCTCCGTCGGTAAATGCCAGGGCTGAAGCGAAGCTGTGCCCGCTCCCGCCGCCCCCGGCCAGGGGGTGTTTTCAGGGAAACCTGAGCAAAAGAGCAAGGGCAGCGCAGGCCGGGGCGGGGAGGGGACGGCAGCCCCAGATGTGCTCGTGAGCCTCCTCCTGCCCTGCGAGGCCAGGACAGACAGACACACAGACCCCACCACCCTGCACCGCTGATGCTCCCCGCTGGCATGCCAAAAAAACCCCAGCAAAGCAACAACAAAAGCAGGGCCAGCTCCGAGCTTTATGTTCAGCCCCATTTATCGCCAGCCTTATTTCCACAGCTACAGCTTCCAGCTCACGGAGCTCCCCCTGCACCCGAGCAGCCCCCACCCCATGGGGACAGCTCACAGGGGCTGGGGACTGTCCCCTCCCTGGCACTAGGGCTGCGGGCGCCCTGGGCTCCTGCAGATGGGCTGCACCCCCAGGGGCTCTCACCATTTCCCAGCAAGGGGTCCCTCAGCTGGTTGTGGATCTGTCACCAAGCCCCAGCAGCGGTGGCAGCCGAAGGGCACGCTGAGCTGCTCGAGGGAGACCGGGGCCATCGCTTGATATGGGAACCAGCAGAGGGTGGAGACCTTTATCTGCATCAGGGACAAGGCACGATGCTCTTCTGCGTGTCCCCAACACCCATGCGTGCTGGCTGCCCCCTGTGCTGGGGACCCTGGTTTGGGCCACAGGTCTCACCCCCTGCTCAGAGAGATCCCTTATACCCAGTCCCCGCATTACAGGCTCAACCCAAGAGAGCAATAAAATCACAATGAGACCCCCCCGCCCCCAGCACGGCCGGGGACCACCCACCACCCCAGCAGGGTCCCCGGCGCAGCAGGAGGTGGCAGCTCCCACCAGCCCGGCATGAAGCAAACCTCGGCTGGGTTGGCATCTCCTGCCCTATGCGGGTCTCCAAGGAGCAGCCGGAGCAGATCGGCTGCTGAGGGGGGTAAAGCAGCCGAGAGCCCCCCCACAGCCAGGGCCTTCCACGTTTCTGCTGGGAACAGCCCCCCGGGTGCCGTTTAGGAGTCACAGCCATCACCATTGTAACCCTCCTTCTCAGCTAACTCTTCTTTGTGGGGGGGAAATATATAAATATATATATATAAAAATTCAGTTTAGCCCCATGGCAGTACAGTAAATTATAAATTAAGCAGCAATCTCAGTGACTCACACAGCGCAAGCAAGAACACGCTCACAAATCCCGAGGCGAAGAAGTCCTATATTGCAGTGTGGAGGAAATTTTTTTCCCCCTCATTTTTTTTACCCCATCACTCTCTTAAGAGCCTTGGAATAACTCAGCTTTCTGCACACCATTTGTCTGGCGCAGGGATGTGGCTTTGGGTTTTGAGTCCCACTCACATAATCCCACTGGAGGCAGCACCTCTCTGAAGCGTAACCGCCCTTCCACCCGGCTCATTGCTCTTCCTTTAGCAAGGAGCAGATATAAGAGTGTTACAAAATACATCTTTTTCTTTCTTTTTTGGTATTTCCAGCCTGTCATTCCACAGGAGCCTCAGCAGCAGCAAAGGAAAAGCCTCCTCTGAGCCAGCCTTCCACCGGTTCCTGCAAAGGGAGCAGAGCAGACGGAGAAGCAAAGGACGGCAGCAAATAATTAAGGAAAATCCTTTCCCAGCCAGAGCCCTTCAGTCCCAGCCGTTCCTGCCCCGAGTCACCGTGAGCGTAACCCCGGCCCCGGCCACCGGCAGAGCTCGGCACGGGGCAGGCAGCACTCCCCGGAGAGGACCGCAATTACGAGTTCCAAGCAATCTGAATTTATAATTGGCCAAGATCTCACTCGGCAGATAACGCGCTGCTGTCCTAGGCACTCGCTTTATCTAGGTCAAGCCATTAGTTTTTCTCTTAATCTACATACATTTTTAATTTGATCTTTAATGTCGATTTTCACCCAGCACGCCGAGCTGATGGACTTCTTTGCCACTGATGGTGTTCACAATCTCCGTCCTTCCTGAACATGCAGAGAGGAAAAACAAGCTCCCAAAACCCCAATGAGTTTGACTACTCATAGCCAAGGTCACGTCCATCGGCTCACCCCTCGCATTCACCACAGTTCAGGAAAACAGCTCACACTTGCCAGCTTCTTCAGAATATAGACATCGGAGTTGAAGATGCACAAAATAAAAAGCCATGATACGCCTCAAAGGGATTAAAGGTGGTTCCTAAAGCACCCGAGGTGTGCAATATAGTACAGAGAGATTGTGGCAGAGCCCCCGCAGGACAGCCCTGCACTGGAGATCTCTGATGTCAGAGGAGCTCAGAGGGGAAGGGGAGCCCCGGGAGGTGGTCTGGGTCAGACACGACAGGATGATGTTCAGGCACACAGCAATTCTGAAGAGGGAAAAAAAAAAAATCCCCCTTTTGTAGAAAGCACAGCCCTTGTGACAAAATGAACTTACTTGGTTCAAAACCCAGTTCTTTATCAAAAAAACCAACTTGAAAGGCATTTCCAGCCTGCTCTAGCTATGGGATCAAAGCCGGAGATTAAGAGCAAGCACTCACTGCTCGATGCTCAAGCTACCACGGGTCCCCAAAAGCAGGCTGGTGGCCATCCAGCTCTCCAGGGGGCAGGGGGGGCCTTGGAGGGGCAGAGCCCTGCGGGGGGCACGGGAGGCTCAGGGGCTGCGGGAGGGAGCAGCCACCCCCATCAGCATCCCGCAGCGCTCCCCGCCCAGCCCGTTTTTAATGACTTCAAGCATTTCAGATACTCGCAAGGATTTGCAGTGCTGCCAGAGAGTGGGCTGTGGTCGGGACGATGGACTGACACCAAATACTAATGCAAATATTGACACTGCCGGTAACGCTCGGCATCGATCCCTGCAACTCCTGCAGGGGAGAGAGCATTAGGAAAAATGCCATCCAAAAAAAATGCCCCAGAAAACCCCCAAGGCAGGGATTACTGACATCGAGCCGAGATGCCCCCTTGGAGGGGGTCCCCACTGGTGGGGAGACACAGCCCCTCGCCACCCCCACCCCCCATCCAGCTCCAGCTCCTGCCGCTGAACCGGCGCTGGGCAGGGTGAACAGCACAGAAAGAATGTTCCTAGCAGAGGAGAGCTTCCCTCCTCCTCCAAAATCACTTAAATCCATAAATTAAAACAAAAAAAATAAAAAATGGTGTTCTGGGAACCTGCAAAACTTGGCTGGCTGAAGGAGCGACTCAGGGTGCCAAGGGGTTTGTCTCCAGCTGAACTCGCCTGGCCAGCGGACATGGGCTGGAGCAGGGGGGAAAAAGGGGTTCAATTTCTATCCCAGGGTTATTGCGTGCAAACGTACATGGTCATTTCTTTCTAAGGTTTCCAATTTGCTAATTGAGACATTTCCTCATGGAAAAAGAATGTCCTGGCCCACGGAGGGGGCTGCTGGCACCGCTCCGCACACCGGGGGAAGCTTAGGTGAGGGGCGACGCAAGATGGGACCGGCACATCACCCTCTGCAGCAAACCCCAGCCACCCCCAGCCTGGGGATCCCTGGGGACCCCCACCCTGCAGCAGCACCCCCCAAAAGGCACTGGGAGAGAAGGAAATACATCCAGGACATCCCACAGCCTGTTCCTCCCACCACTGCAGATGTTTGACTCGCACCACTGGGCAAATCACACCGGGTTTGGGAGAGTTTTGGAGAAGGGCAGGTGGGAAACCAGCCCAGGAAACCGGATATCTAGAAAGATTTCTGTCCAGGCATCAGCTTGTTAAGAAAAAGAAAAAAGAGAAAAAATAGAATCTGGCCTGCACAGGAAAAAAAAAAAAAAAAAAAAAAGAGGTCTTCTGTATTTTTGTTAGAGTGATAGAAGTATTTCTTCTGCCCTCAAAAAACACAAGAGCAGACAAATCAATTTTGTTCAAAATATTAACAAGACAAAGAGCCAAGAAAAGCACTTTTGGGTCAGAACAAGCCCAGAACATTAGGCAAGAAAGGACCAGGAGAGGAGCAGCTGGAAACCCAGGAGAAGGGCTCTAATGGAACGTGACTGCTGCCACGGCTACAGCCTCACCGGTGTGACCTCTAATGGGACCAGCTATGTTATTTTTTTTTTTAATATTGAAAAAAGGAATTAAAACCATTTTGCAAACTCATGCAGAATGCATGGGGGACAGAGAGGGATTTCTAACTTTATATAGGTCAAACACCATCCACACGGGTTCACACAACACCCCCTGCAGCCACCGCATGAAAATGAAGCTCCAGGGGCCCCAGAAGGATGCCTGGGAATTCGCTCTCTGCCACCTGAGGAGCAGCAGAGCCGTAACTCAGCTCGGATCGATGTGCCACGAGTGACGGCGGAGGGGGGTGACTGCCCATTTCTGCCACTACAGCTTGGGGGAATTAGGACGGAGGAGAACACGTGCAGAGAAGGGGCTCCCCCACCACGGGGGCTCCCACTGCTGGGACCACTGAGCAGGCACGGCCCCAGCACCGCAGCCTCGGGGGAGGATGCTCAGAGGTCCCCCAGGCCACTCTTTGCCACCCCGGCTCTGTCACAGGACAGGACAGACCCCCGCTGTCTGCCACACTCCTGGGGCAACAGCCACAGGTCCAATGCCTGGGCTTGGAACACACACCCCTCAGCAGGAGAAAAATCAAACAGCAAAGACTTTGCTCTAATTGTGTCAGTGAGACCCAGCTCAGGCTCCTGGTACCAGGGCACTGGAGGAGCCCACAAGCTCCATCCTGCAGCCCACAGACCTTTCAGGAGCTTTTTGGCTTGAATAAGAGGTGCCACCTGGGGCATGTGGAACCGGCTCCTGCTCCGACAACCATCCCTGGGCACACACCCGCGCGGGCTGCTTACCTTCAGCTTCTCAAAGCGGTCGCTGAGGGATGCCACTTGGTGGTCCCGGTGGCGGCCCACCAGTTTACATAAGGCACAGATGAGCTGGTCATCAGCAACACAGTACATGTTCACCTTCTCGTTCTCGTGCTCCAGGCACGTGAGTCCTCGGAAGTGGGCGTCGGGCACCGGCTCCACCAGCCGGTGGCTGGTGAAGGGCTTCTTGTTGGGGTGGGTGGCCCGCAGGCAGCGGTCGCAGTAGGACACCTCGCAGGTGATGCAGGTCTTCACGGCGTCCCGCGGGGGGTCCTGCTCACAGAACTGGCAGGCGATCCGCTCGCCGGCCACGGACATGGTAGGGCTGTTGCGGTAGGTCCTCTCGCGGCGGCTCTCGCTGGGGGAGTTGGGGCCGCTCAGGGAGGCCTTCTGGAAGCGGTCGATGATGTTCTGCAGGGTCACATTCCTCTTGAGGCCCTCCAGGCCCCGGTGGTTGAGGGAGATGACATAGCGGCACGTGGGGCACTGGAAGGCGGTGATGGGCTCGATGGACTCGCTGGAGGAGCAGCTGGAGACCAGGACACGGTGGGCGCAGCTGAAGCAGAGGCTGTGGGCACAGGGCAGCAAGAGAGGGTCTTCGAATAACTCCAGGCAGATTGGGCAGGTCAATTCTGACTCCAGTGTTTCCATCTTTAGTTAAAACGATCCTGATTCAGCATCCAAAGCCGGGGAAGGTGGTCTGGTACCTGGGAGGGAGGAAAGCAGAGAGATGAAGCATTGGCTCTCCTGGGCAGCTGCTCTCCAGCAGAAACAGACGCCCAGAGGAGATGGACACCACAGACAGACACCATCACGCCCACAGCACCCCAACATTCTGCACCCCAACACTGTCACTGCAGTCCATCGGCATGGATGGACCATCTCACCAAACCGTCCTCCTGAACCGAGCCACGAGCTTGGACCAGCACCCAGAGATGCTGTGGGACAGGAGAGAAGGGCGGAGGGACAGCAGCTCCCCTCCTGCCAGCCAGGGCAGAGGGCTCAGACAGCAAAGCTGGGGACAAAACCAGGAGAAACCACATGATTTTGTGGTTCTTTTAGCAAGTGCTGCCTGAGACAGGAGCGGGGGACCAGGCTGGTTTCCCAGCCCCACAGCACAGGCAAACCTCTCAGCATCCCCCCTAGCAGCCACGGTCCCCTCTCCCTTTGGTGAAGGGGAAAAGGTGAATCACATCCTGGAAACTCTGAGCAAAGTGGGTGAGGAGCTCTCCCGTACCGTCCCCCCGCTCTGTGTTCCTCCCAGATGCTGCCCTTCAGGAGCGGGGAGGGAAGAGCAGCGAAATTACAGTCTGCAAACGTCCCCCCCTCGCTGTCCTCTGCTGCACTCCGGCAGTGGCCAGCGATGCCCAAACCAGCCCCAGCTGGAGCCAAACGAGCACATATTTTTAGATCTCCTCCCCGGCACAAGGCTGGAAACGGGCTCCCTGGAAGCCACCGCAGCCACCGTGGTGGCGCTCCCAAGCTCCGGTTCTGCAGAGCACCGAGTCGCCCCTGGGGACCTGCCCATCGCCCCCACTCTCCCCAGTCACCTGAAACAGGACTCACGAGCACCTCGAGACCTTCAGCCTTTCCTGCGCTGGCACAAGGCATTTATAAACTTAAGCAATTGGATATTTACATATATTCATGCTGCAGCAACCTTATCAAGGCCTGCCCAGATGCAGACTTGCACAGATACATACATATTTGTAATGTTTTATTATTGCCCCCCAAGAGAGACGGTGGGAAATCAGCTGTGTCCAAAGGGCTGAGGAGCACAAAGGCTCCCAACAGCCTCCTCCCTGCGGCCCCCGGTGCTTTTCTCAGACCCCAGAGCCCGTCTCAGCCATGGGAAAGCAGCGGGGAGGAAGCTGCTGGACACTTGCCCGGCAACATGAGATGGCTCTTGCTGGGCTCCCCACCTGCGGGACCAGGGGCTCCCACTGCACGGCCGTAACACCCCCAGGACCCCAGCCACGGGCAGCCCCCCCGCATGGCTTTAAACCTTACAAACCGCCTTCGAATCAGGGCTGGTCCCTTGCTTTGCCAGGACACTCCAGGCAGAGCAGCCACCGCGCTGTGAGAATCCCACGCTGCCGGCTGAGCCCGCACCCCAGCACGGGCAGCAGAGCCCCCCCAGTCACCCACCGACCCCTCCGGACAGCGAAGGCAGAGAGGGAATAAAGGACAAGAGCAGGATTTGTGTCAGAGCCTGACCAGCATCGGGAAAGTGATCTAAAAGTCAGGATTGGTGCCAGACGCTCCCCAACAGCCCCTGCAGAGCAGCACGAGCATCACCCATCGCTGGGACACGCTCCCACGGGGCAAATGGGGCCTGTCAGCAACCACAGGGTCCATGTGTGACTGGGGCATCCATCTGCAACCACGGGGTCCGTGTGTGACTAGAGGGTCCATTTGCAACCGCGGGGTCCGTGTGCGACTGGGGGGGTCTGTGTGCGACCGCAGGGTCCCCCTGCCCCGGGAGCGCTCGGCTTCAGCTCCGCCGCCATCCAGGGAAAAGATGCAGAGAGTTTAAACAGCTTTGTTCCTGAAGACTGTTCTCATGTTAATCTTGTTTTCCTTGCTGGGACAACATCCTTCAGATCCCAGATAACCAGGAGGAGCCCCCAAGCCCCGGCTGGGGCAGGAGCGGGGCCGCCGCTCGCTCAGACGCACCTGGGCCGAGCAGTTGGCGCTGCCTTCGGAGCCTTTCATGCCTCTCACTTTGATGTTCGCTTTGATGTCCGGGATTGACGTGGCACGAGGAACAGCTGATTAGATCAAAATCTGCTTTGTTTAGAGTCATTAACTCCCTAACTATAGAAGTTATAATGTATTAGCACAGTTTACAAACAAGCCTGTGCCACTGGTGCCCAAGGGTCAGACGCCGGCCCCAGCCACGCTCCTGCTGGCCCCTGGGCAGGGCTGGGGCTGCGAGGAGCAGGAGTTTAACAAAGCAGTAACATGAAAACAAACATTTTTGCTGTGGAAAAGCCTGGGTGGGATTTCTCCCATCACGCAACACAGGAAGGAACGCAGGATTCCTCCAGCTCTGGGCACAACGGCGGCGAGGGGCAGCTTTAGGTGGGTACCATGTGCCCAGGGGCATCCATGGTGCCACAGAAGGAGAGATATGGCCAGAGCACCCACCTGCATTGCTGTGACCTCCCCCCACGCTGGGGGTGCCCCACATCCCCCCAGGTGCCACAGGTCCCCCTGTGCCGCTCCAGGCCTCCTGGCTGGCGGGCAGAGCAGGAGGCACAACCCACGGAGCCATAGCTCCTGCATCCTGGCCAGCAACCCTGCACCCTCAGCAAACGATACCAAGGGCCATTTGACACAAAGGTTCCCCCACCACCTCTCACACATTATTATTTTTACAAGATCAAAGCCAAGCAGGCTTCGTTGCTACCTCCAGCTCAAAGGTTCCTCAGGAGTGATGCAGAGGTTTGCCACCAAGGAAAGGAGGGAGGAGAGAGAAAGAAACAGCAGGAGATGTTGCTCACATCACCCCATCTACACCTGGGAGGGGACATCCTGGTGTATATCACCTAAGGCCATGGTCAGCCAGCCCAAAATTCCCCTTGCCCCTCTGACCACCTTTAGGCAGCCCAAAAACCCCTCCCTGCTCCTTCTGCTGCGGTTTCCCCTTGACTCCTGGTGCAAGAAAGCTCTTGCTCACACATCACGCCGTGCCAGCCCTGTGCCGTGAGGCTGGGATACCAGAAATCAATACGACGCATTGTATCTGCATTTAAAAACCAATGGCTGCAATTTCTGTTCGTGCCTTGGGCTTGGCCACAACCACATCCTGCGGCGGGTCCCCCGGCCCCACCCCCGCCGCTACGGGTCTGCGTTGTTCAGGAGGCAGTTCTCGGTGCTCTCCAGGCATCAGCTTATAATTATTGTATAATTGTGGAGGGTTTTATCAGGCTGGAGAACCCCGTCCCACCCTGTGTCTGGCTTCGCTGCCACATGGTGGTGACCAGTCAACGTGCCTCGTGCCCGGCACCGTCAGCCTTTGCCGAGCCCGACATAGCAGCACCCACCTTCCTAAATGGAGAATTTTAAACCCAAAACATATGTCTGCAGGTCCCATTTTCCCCTCCAGCACACCCTCCTGGCCTGCCCAGCCCTCGCTTTTACCACCATTTGCTAAATCCACCTGAAGCTCCCCCGGGTCCTCCTGGCACCAAAGCGGGCACAGCTCTGCCAGCCTTTCAGAGCTCACACTGCAGAGCCCGCTGCTCTCCAGACCCGCTGAGGCAAACGCTGACTCTTCAGGCTTCCACACCAAGTCTGATTTTTTACATTTTTTTTCCCTTCTCCCTTCCCCCCTGCTTTTTTTCTTTTTTTTTTTTCCCCTCAGAAGATCTTCAGCCCAAACTGCTCAGCCACTTCCAAGAATGAGGCTTAAAAAAAAAAAAAGCTGTGTTGCTCCACCCATATGTTAAAAAAAATAATAATAAAATATGGCAACCCTTTCCTTAATTGGCTCCACGACAGCAGGATATAAAATCTGGGCAGCAGTTGTCTGTGTGCTTTTTGTTGTCCTCGGGAAAATTAGCTCGAGATTGGATGGCTGTTTGGGGAAGAACAAGAAGCCCCATCCAGCAGCCACGTCCCATCCCCACAGAGCCCATGCAGGGACCCACTCCCGGGGTGATGGGGAGAGGGGCCCCCCCATCCCTGCCAACCACACCGCGCTCCACAAACACCAGCCCTTCCCACCAACAGCCCTAAATTCGCCCTTGGGACAGGTTTGCCCCGGAGAAAGAGGGGTCCTCCGAGGAAAAGTAGCCCCCGACCGTGTAATTAGCAACAGCTTCCTACCTAATGAAGGCACTCAAGAGAAAGGTTGAGGGAGGGGGGGACAAGGGGGGAGGCAATCAGGCTCATCCAGTCAATTTAGACCCAGCAACACCTAATTTTTCTGTGCTTGATTTGCAGCCTTGCTACTCCAGTGCGTGTGGAGCTGCTGTGCACATTTCACACTGAACGCGAAGCTTAAAGCCCCGGCCGGGGAAGAGCATCCTCCGGCCGGGCCGTGGCTGCAGCTCACACCCCTGCGCCTGCCCCTTCCTCCCCCCGCAGCTCAAAACATCAAACACAATTTGGCCTTTCCTCCCACAGCTCCTGCCTTAACAGTTTCCTTAATAACTTAGCGAATTTGTCTGAGGCTTTCTGAAAAATCCAGATAATTCATCTCCCAACTGCTCTCCCCAATCATCTTATCGCAATACTGAAAAAAGAAGGAAAAAAAACCACCAAACCCTGATTAAACTGGATTTCCTATACGAAAACCACGCGTTGTTGTCCTTAATCTATCACACTGAATCTCAGGCATTTCCACATGAGCTTTAATTATTTTCTCAGCCAATTTGCTCGGTGCTAAAATAAAGCTGGCTGCTCTGTAATTCCCACAGTTCTTCTCGTACCTCTTTAAATTAAGGACAGAGCAGAAGAGGCTGCGCTCCCATCCAGCAGTTGCTGTTAATGAGAGATTACTTTCTGCTGCCAGTTCAGCCGCTTCATCGTTAAATCCCTTCAGAAGAGCTGGCTGGAGCCCACCGGGCGCTGCCGATTTGCTGCTCTTTAATGTCTCCGTTTGCAAGTTCTTTATTCCCCCGGGAATTGCATCTTCACCGCTGCCAACGTTGTCTTGACTGATGGGACGCAACCGTTCTGCTCCATCGCAGCATCCTCTTTCTCCTGAAGTTCTCCTGTTGGGCTCCCGGGGCTGGGAAGGGGCCCCGGGTGGCTCCGTGCCCCACAAACACCTCTGCCCTCCAGCTTGCACAGCTAGCTCTGGTGGGGTTCCCCCCATCCTAAAAACGGGATTATTCCCCACGTGTAACCCCTGCAGGAGCCCCAGCAGTGGAGAGGCAGGCACTGCCCCCCGCAGCACCCCCAGTCCTGCACGTCCCACCGACCCCACCACAGCCACTGCCCCCCGAGCTGCTCTGCTTTGGGAGCTGCATTTCCCACCCCTTCTCCCTTGTGTCTTCCCAACAACATCTCTTGGTTTGTCGAGCAGCTCCAGGAGCCTGTACCACCCGTTCTCCCCCGGGTTTCTGTAGTTTCTCCACGCACAGCAGCCCGGCCCTGGCAGCTCTCCCCAACACTCCCCCAACGCGCTGCCCCAGCACGTCCCCCCGTCCTTCCCCGCCTGCCAGCGCCGAGCCGAGCATCTCCCATTGTTTAGAGCGGCTAATAATACCTTTACAGCTGTGCAGAAATCAATTGATTACACCATTTGTTCTGGCGATGCCACGAAACCTTCCCATCTGCAGCTGCCTCCCACCCGCCGGGAAATGCGGAGCCGCGCTCCTGCCGGCCGGGAAGTGTGATGTGGGGAGGGGGCTTTTTGGGCCTGGCGTTAAACCATCAGCTGCTGATGTTGGATTTGTCTGGCCCGCCAGGACTGCAGCGCAGGATGAAGCACAACGGTGGTGGTGGTGGTTTAAGCTGTCATGACTGCAGAAGAACACAAGCCACCACTGAGCCATGCTCCTCACCCACCACTGTCGGGTGCCTGGCAGTGTGTCACTTGGACTTTGTGGAGACCCTGAAAGCACCCAAAACCCACCAAAAGCCGTGACAGCCCTCCACGGATAGAGCTGAATGCTTCACCCAGAGCAGCAAAGCCTCGGGTGGGAGCCCAGCATCACTCCCATCGTGAGGAGCAGAACAGGCTCCCAGGGGCTTGGTACCCCCATGGGGCAAGGATGCTCTGACCAGGAGGTCTCCACTGGGGAGAGACCTCATTCACCTCCACAACATCAGGGACACAATCACCAAACACAGCTCCCTGCACAGGCCACAGCCGCCCGATGCCTCGGCAGCCGGAGCCATTCGGAGCAGCCCCACGCGGCACCGGCACACGTCCTGTGCAAGCCTCCCAGGGCAATTCCCACCAACATGGCATGGAGACCCTCCCCTGCCACCCTCTTCGGGGGCCTGGGGGTGACAGGACACAAAAAGGCACAGGGTCTCTCTCCAGTCCCCTCCAATTCAGCAGCTCCCCGGAGCTCAGCACAGTTGCTTTTGAGGGAACGCCGCAGCTCCTGGGGCCTCTGCGCTCCCACAATCAGTAAGAGCAGGGATGGCAGCAGCCGGGCTGTCCCCCAGCACAGACCCCCACCCTCCACTCTGCGCTGCATCCATCTGTCTGTCCGTCCCACCTCCCCAGCCAGGCGGTTTCCCCCAGCACTGCCCAAACCCGGCAGCCCCTGCCCCTCTGCTGCCACGGGGGGGTCACAGCGATGCCAGGCACAGCCCCTGCCGGCGCCAGGGACATCTGCAGCGGGAGCAGCCCCATCTCCCCAAGGCTCCCCAGACCGGCGCAGATGGGAGCGAGCCACTTCCAGCCCGGCCATTGAGAAAAAGCAGCTGGGGACCTGGCACGTCCCCAAACTGGCACGTCCGGCCCTGGCAGCCCTGCCACCCCCCGGCAAACCCCCCCTCCCCTGCCCAGCAAACCCCCTCTACCCCAGCCCCACCACCTCCCTCACCTCTCCAGCAGTTATTCGCTCTCCTGCCACCCTGGTCCAAGCGTCTCCTCCACTGCCCAGCACGGCCAGTAGCCACTGGGAGGCCGGCGAGCAAAACACGGCACTCGCGTCAGCTCCCAAAAAAAATACCCGCACCCGGCTGGCTCCTGCCAGACCACACATGGCAGCAGCTTTTAGATCCAAGCCCTTCTCCGAGCGCAGCCCCCAGCTCTGCCTCCTTCCCCTCTTCCTTGGCCACCGCCTGCAATGCAGCTCAGCCCCGCAGCGCCCGGAGCAGCCGGAGCCCCTGGCCCTGCAAGGACACGGGGAGGGCAGAGCTGCCAACACCGCGCAGCAGCGGCTGCTGCTTCAGACAGCCTCTGGCTCCACAGCAAGTCACGGCTTCCATCCCCCCATGGATGCTGCACAGGGGGCAACCAGCCCCACCGAGGGGCAACCAGCCCCACCAAGCGCTGCTGCAGGCAAAGACCCGAGCGATGCAGCACCACGTCAGGCACCCCCAGCCCCCCCGCCATCAGCTGCGGGGCCAGCAGAGCCCCCACCCCACCTTCTGCCTGCACCAGCTGCTACAGCTCGGCCCCTTCACTCAGCCAGAGGCGAGGGTGTAACCCCCCCCGCTGGCCTTGGAGCCGCAGGGTGGCCAAGAAAAACCATATCCCAAGGGTGAATCCCTCGGTCTCTCCGGAGGCTGGGGAAGCAGCAGCCCCCTCCCATGTTCACAGCCACAGTGCCATACCAGGAGCTGAGCATCCTTCGGGGACTGTGCCCTGGGTACCACACCAGAGTTATCCCCACTCCGGTGTTTCCAACTGGACCACCAAGTCTCAGTGCCTGACACCACCGCTCACCCTTTAAAACCAGCAGGGTTTAAAGAGGTGCCGAGAAATGAAGGGAGGCAGCGAAGGCGAGGTTGGGCTCATGGCAATGCCTGTGGCAGGACAGAGCCAGAAGATGAGACAGACCCAAGCCTGGGGAGGTACCGGTGCTGCTGCAAGGGGAGCGTGGCACTGCAAGGGGCCAGCCCGTCACCGGTGCTCTCCAGGGACCCTCGAGCTGCACAAACGTCGAGGCTGCTCCTGAAAGGACGTTTATGGGGGGACAGAACAAAGACAGACCCTCAAAGAAGGGGTCCCTCCTGCACAGGACAGCCCCGTCCCAGCGAAGGCACAGAGCCCAAAGGTGCCAGCCCTATACGTGGCATCCCCCAGGAAAGGGAGGGAAGGAACGCTGCCAGGCAGGGAAGGCTCGGCTCCAAAGGGGCCAGAACCTGCTCCCTGGACCCAGGCTCCCATCAATGTCTGGGCCCACTGAGGGCTCTGGCGTGTCCCCAGAGCAGCTCCAAAGCAGCACCCCAGTGCTGCGTCAGCCTCGCAGGCCCATGGACAGCCAGCAGCAGCCCACGTGGCTTCAGTCCCGTGTCGCTGCCGAGTGCTGCCAGCAGGAAAAAGGCTGTTCCAGCCTCCCCGCAGAGGTCCCAGCCCGGCCCCGAGCCTCCCCGGGCTTCTCCAGCCAAACCCCAAAACCACCCAACGGCCACGCTCCCCACGGATGCCACGGGGTTGGGAAATTCAAAGGCTATTGTGCTGCTTTGTGCAAGTTTAAATATATCTGCAGAGGCTCCTGGGGGCTGCATTCCTGGTGAAGCGGGTAAGATAAACAAGGCTTCCTGCAGGAACTAAAGACAATGGGGGAATAATTAGCATTAGTCCCCAATGCAGAAACAATGCAGGTAGCAGATATTTTGGACTTTCACACCCTCCCCCCCCGTCACAGCCAGGAAGAGGCACCCAGACTGGTGTGACTTGGCCCAGGGTCCCTGTCTGAGAGACACACAGCATCGAATGGGGGGGAAGCAACAGGCACTGGGGCCGAGGGACCAGCCTGGGGTTTCACCATCTCAGACCTCCCCTTGGAAAAGGTGGCCACATTTTGGAGACACATTTTTCCCCAGTGTAAGCGGCTCCGGGCACCAGCCAGAATCACGCCGGGGAGCGTGGGCACCCACGTGCCAAGGGTCCCAGTGCAGATGGTTTGGGGACAGAGTTTGTGCCCGTGCCCTGTGACGCTTCTAGTGATGCCAGGCTGGAGCAGTGCCCTGCATCCCTTCCCGTGCAGCACAGCCAGCAATGCTGGACTGGAGCAGTGCCCTGCATCCCTTCCCGTGCAGCACAGCCACTGACGCCAGGCTGGACCAGCCGCAAAAGCCAGGGAGAAGCTGCTCCATCACCACAGGGAAAGTTCTCAGACTCCACTCTTCCCTCTACAGCTCGGCCAGAGGGTGTCAGAGATCCACTGCTCCGACAGTTACCACCTCTTCATTCCACAGAGCAACAAACCAAGGCTTGTTTTCAAACCATGTCATTTTTTTAAAGCTTTTTCCTACACGGGCCCCTTGGGAACGCTCTGTACGGGAGCCAGATTTCCCAGTCCTCCTACCAGCGTGGCAGTGACAGAGGGACCTCAGCGCTCCCTGGATGTTCTGTCAATGCATTAAACAGGTCATTTGAAGTCTTTCAAGACCAAATGCGAAATGCTCCTGCGGAGGTGACTCACATCCATTAGCATCCCTTTGGAGAGGGTTCTCCAGCTCTCAATCACTTCTGCTCATGAGCACTCCTACCCTTCATCTCAAAAAAAAAAAAAAAAAAAAAGGCACCAATTCACCTGGCTCAGCTTTCCCCCAGCTGTATTCCAGCTGGCACTGAGACTGTTTTGCAGTTGTGTTTGCACTGCTCCATGGCCACGCTTGGAGCTCACAGGACGGTGCCCAAGGAGCCCAGCAGCTGCCCTTGCCAAAGCATGGGGCTACCAGTCTCCAACAGTGGGCACAGCACAAACCCTGGCACACAGCCCACCGTGGGGCACAGAGCATGGGCACAGCACAACCAGCTCAGACAAACCCCTCGGTGCTGCCCCAACACCCGGGGCATTTATCGATACAGCGATATCCCCGGGCACAGGAGCTCGTGCTCTATAGCACGAGGCTCCAGAAGGCAGAGGGGACAGATGGGACAGAGCCACCGCCTGCCCCCGTATCCCACCCCCTGCTCTGGACGCCACCGAACACCCACAGCACTGGTCCCTCACGCCACGGGATGCTCCACCAGCAACACACCACAGCATCCCCCGGGCGCACCCTGGGCTTGCTGCCCCACCACCCAGGAGTCTTCTGCCCAAAGCCAACCCAGATGCAGCTGCACCCCAGAGCACCCCTGATAACCACACAATCCCACCCTATTCCCACAAGATCATGCTGCCCCCATCACCCCCAGTGCCCGGCAGAGCTGTCCCCACGGCACGGCCACGCTGGGTCACCCCCAGCCCCCCCTGCTCCACGGGACAACCCGGCTCCCTCCGCCAGCATGTGGGGGCCACAGCTCCCCCCGCCAACCCCCCAGCTCTCCTTGGGGGCAGCTCATGAAATGAAACAGGTGATTTCCTCCTTCCATCCCCGCTCTCTGCCTGTGGCAGCCAGAGGGAGGCAGGGGATGGCTTTTAGCGACAAGAGGCACAGCACAGACAATTCCTGCTACATAATACAGTGTTCTTTTAATGATCCAAAAGAAAAGGGAAACACTCTGTATTTTGCATTTGTAATAGATCACAGACCCTGAAGAGGCTCCCTGGAGACAGGGTTTTACAGGCAGAGGCGCCTCGGCCTCCAAGAGCATCCGACTGCCTGGATTCTCCGGGAAGGTCCCTGCATCTCTGCAGAGGGACAGCAAAGCTCACGGCTGGTGAGGAATAACAAACCCACACAAATCCCGAGGATGCTGAAGGGAGCACAGCACTTCACAGGTCACACAGGGACCGCACCGGTGGCCAGAGACTTAAGGAAGTATTGGCAGGAGTGAGAGAGTGTTAAAAAAAAAATATATATATATATGTATATATAAAAATCAATTTGGCCTGGCATTCCCAGACCATGCTCCTCAGCCAAGGGCTGGAGCGTCAAGCAGTTTTTCCAGGCACTGGGGAGGAGCCCAAGCTCCCTCTCCTTCCCACTGCCCTCCCCACACTGGGGACACTGGGCCAGGGTGGGAGCTGGATCCTCGCCCCAGCAGCCCCGCCGTGGCAGAGGGCATCACCACCAGATGGTGAGCAGAGCAGCCACCAGTGCCACCACCACAGTGTCACAGCAAGGCTTCCCGGGGGTGCTCAGCACCGGAGCCAGCACCCAGCAAAAAGCCCACCCTGCTCCTTAATGAAGCATTCAGCCCAGTCACCCTGCAGTGCCAAGGAGCCCCCCCACATCTCTCCCTCCCTCCCAGGACCCCCTCACCCCAGTGGGTCAAACGCCGGCGCTGCCGCCCCAGCCCAGCTTCGGGTACTCGAGCATCATCGGATGGCCTTAACCCGCCTAATTTTAATCAGCCCAGTTACACAACCAGATTTAGCAAGGCCCTTCTGACGACTGTCCATGAAACACATTTAACTCACTCCGTGCCTCTTTGAAAACACAAAAGGTAATTTATTCCACACCATCTCTGAGTTGCTGCCGAAGGATGCTCTGCATTTCAGAGGGGTGTGCGTGTACCCATCCCCTCCCTGCTCCCGAGCAGCTCCTCAGCCAGCTCACACTCATCACGCCAAGCTTGAATCCTGCTCCAGAAAGGCCTCTCCCTGCTGTCTGAAGTTAATTTTTTCCCCTTCGGTCAACCAACTCAAAATTGGTTTTGCGTATTAAAATGAAATTTAATTTCTAGGCCATTACCCCACTGTGGTCTAGCTCCTGTGTCTGCAGAGCGAGGAATAAACAAACAGACCCGGCAATTCATTTCCCTCTTAGACATGAATTCCAGTTATAAACAGCAGTAATAACGTTCTGCGGAGGCACAGAGCCCCTCTCCTTTTGGGATCCCAGGCCGGGTCACGGGGAGCAGGCAGAGCCTCGGGACCCCGCCGTGCCCCGAGCGCAGGCCGGCACACACCGACCCGGAAACACTCCCTGCACGGCCGCAAAAACCATCCCCTGGTTTGCCCCGTTTCTCACCGACACAGCGGGCTCCTGACTATTTCCATCTTGGCTTTCCACAGGCTACTGGGTTTTCCTGTTCCCTCTCAGTAGAGAGTCCAGACAGAGAGATGTAAAAAATAGACAATTCTGAGACCTGAGAGCTTGCAGCATCCAGCTCTGCAACAGCTGAAAAAAAACCTAACGAAACCCCAAAACCAAGCCTCCCAAAGTCCCCAGACAACAAAAGTCCCTCACAACAAACCCCCTTTCT